GGAGGGAGGGAGATGTCTGGGAAGGAAGGAGGGAAGGAAGGAAGGAAGGGAGGGAGGGAGGGAGGATGTCTAGGTGTCATCTGTCTCATTCCTTCCCTCTTTCTTCTCTCATGAATTACTTGCTTTAGGCTTTTGCAGGGTTCTCACTGACTTGAGTTGCTAAATCCAATAGTCAGTTCTCATACCCAACGTCATCAGCAGCATCCACACTCCCTTTTCTCTGACCTCCAGGACATCACTGTTGACTGTCACCACCTCACTGACTGCTCCTCTCCTGCCTTTTTCTGGTTACTCTTCAACTTTCTAATGTCAAAAACCTGAGGCTCAAATGTGTTCACACCTACCCTTCTGTCTAGACCTACTCCCCAGACCTCCAAGTCTTCAAATACCTTACCACCTACATGGGATACAGAGCTTCAAATACGTCTCTGCATCCCAGCTTCTCTACATCCATATGTAGAGTCAACTCCCCATTCAGCATGTCTACTTGTACAACTAGTAAGCGTCTCAAATTTAATATGTTCTAAACAGGTGAACTCTTGCTAGTTCCTGACAAACCTTTTTCTTACACTGTCTTCCTTATCTCAGTTAAAAGGAAACTTCATTTTTAGTGCCCAAGTCAAAATTTTTCAGTCATCTCTGATTCTTCTTCTCTATCTCTCACTCTGTATTCTATCCATCAGCAACTCTTGGCACATACACCTTCAATGTGTATCCAGAACTGGACTTCATCAGATGACCTTCACCACCTACCACCATGATCCAAAATATCAACACCTCTTCCTGGATCTAGTAATTAACTCTTAGCTGGTTTAACTCACCTGTCCTTATTCCCTGCTGTCCATTCAGCACAATGGCTACAGTGGCTTTGGAAAAACCTAAGTCAATTCATGTCACTTCTCTCCCTTCCAATGTTTCCCATCTCGTTTAAAGTAACATTCAATGTCTTTGCTATGCTCTACAAAGCCCTAAACAATTTAGTACACCATAATATCCCAAGCACCATTACCTAGACTACTCTCTGCCCCAGTCACATGAACACATGGCTGATCCTCAATGAATTAGGCATCTTCTCACCTCAGACTCTGCATTTCTGTCTAGAATGCCTTCTCACCTTCTTCAGATTCTGCTCCAATACCACCGTGTCCGTGAGGACCTCCTTGGCCATCTCCTACTCACTTCCCCTGCCTTATTTTGCACCTTGCACTGATCACTATCTACAGGTTCTACCTTAGCTACCTTGACTATGGCCCCACCCTCCAGAAGAATGTAAGCTCCAAGGGGACCAGGACTTTGTCTGTTTTGTTCAGAGCTGTATCTCCAGTGCTGAAACAGTGCCTGGAAAACAGTTGGAGTACAACTATGGCATAATAAATAATTATTATTCTTCCCTTCCCGCTGAGTCACTACTAAGAATATCTGAAAGCAGATCAGCAGCAATGAAATGCCAAGACCGAAAATAAGGCTTTACCTTACTAAGAGGTTAACAGCAGTCTCTCTAACATACAGGAGACCTGCACCTATCATTCATTTACTACATGAGACTAAGGAAATCAGCCCTGGAAGACAAGTCTTCCTCCAAAACACAAATGTCTACCTTGGTAAAGTCACTCCTCGGAGTTTCTAAGTCATCCTGGGAAGACATTCTTTTCCTCTGCTCTGGGGCTGACGGCTTCACTTTAGATGGTGACACTAAAACAGCTCCACCTGGAAAACAATGCAGGAGCCAGTTTCAGTTACTCTAAATAATCATTATGAAAAAAAACGCAGGTTAAGAACTGCACAGTGTTTGATTATTACCAACAGCAGGAGTAGTAAGATCATGGTGAGTCCTCTGGATTCCAAGTTCTCTCAGCTTTGGAGTAGGAAGCCTGCCCCCCTTTCCTGAGGATAAAGAAGAATCTGACCTATGAATTGAAACAATCTGTTAGGAAGTATGTCTTCCAGAAAATATGAACAAAACTATATCATCATCATTGTATGATAATAAAGCCTAAAATGTCTAAGAGAAGTCTACTTTTTTTTGAAAAAAATACCAATTAAATTCATATGCAGGAGTCTGTGGGGATATGTGCCTATAATCCTACTGTTTAGGAGGTGGAGGCAGATCATCATGAGTTCCAAGCCAACCTGGGCTATCCAGTGAAACCCTACCTCAAAAACAATGTTTTTTTCTAATCCTCACTCCACATGTAGTTAAGAGGAACTAAATACTAGAAGACAGTGGGAAAGCCACTGCAAGTCAGCAACGCCACAGCTCAGACTTCTCCCATTTACTCAGCGAGTTCCATGTAGCTACAATGTCCATGAGTGAACAAAGGGTTTGGACTGCAGACAAAATGTACCATTCTCAATGGCAAGGAACCACCCCTCCCCCAAGCCATTTATAACACATGAAACCACAGGAATTAGCTATTTTCAGAAATTACTCCTTAAAAAATATTACAAAACACTGTCCTTTCTTTTTTGATAGAATTAGCTGATATTAATGAATAGGATTTTTCTCCGTAAAATCTTCCCGGCACGCCTGCAAGTCCGGCAAATCATAATCCCAGGACATAAATGAAAGCAACCCTACTTCCTCCTCAAGTCGCACAGTGTTTAAGTGCTCAGTTAGCAATTAGGGTGACACCAGTGTCTGAAGCAAAACACAGGCATATACCATAGAGCAGTGCCTACTTCAAGGCACTAAAGTGAAACACCTGTTTCATATTAGTCATAAAACTTAAAGTATAAATCCTATACCTAGCAACAAAACAAGTATGTATTAGTCATGCACTAGATTGTTCTGTACACTGAGAAATCCAAATCTCACCCTTCTTTAGCTCTGTCTGCCTTAGCCTTCTCGCAAGTGTCCAGAGCCTCCAGCTCTCTCAGAGAAATCTGCTTGTCCTTTGTCCTTTCCTCCTGCTCTTCCTCCTCCCCTCTGGGCTGTTTCTGTGTGTCTTCATCAGCGTTGTCTGTATCCCAAGCCAGCCGCCTTCTAACAGGCATGGTGGGCTCCTCTGACAGGTCCAAGTTCCCAGTGGTGTTTTTCTGGGGCTGATCTTCCAAGACAACTTGTTTTTCTTCTGGTTTGGGAGGAGACTGTTTCTGGGAGGTCTTATGGCTTGTAAGATCTCTGCATAACAAAATAAGTTTTATTTTAAATCTGAGTTTGAGTTTTTTAGTTTGTATTAATATGAGCTTATCATTCAGCCACACTGATGGCCTTGTCCAGGTATCGAAGAAGTTACTGTGTAGCACCATACATGAGTTGTCACCTGTCTATTAAAATAGTCCAAAATTTAACATATTTTTCCTCGTGCCTACCTTCACGTATATGCACCTCTGAAGACAAAAGCCAGATTTAGTCACAAAATGCACAAACTAGGGCCCCAAATGGTCTAACTTGTTCAGTTTCTAGACTCACATTGTATACAAACTCAAGCATACCTATAAATATGTGGATTCAAAATTTTGTACTTTAGATTCATCTTTCTAAGCATGATTAAAGACTATATTTTGTGGTTAACTTTTAAACCAAAGGTCACATAATTAGGCTTTACAGATCAATTTGGTATGCATAACTACATTAGCACACTGTAAGTTAAGGCAATTTTATTTGCTATAAATCAGTGTGTTATTTCTTTTCTTTTTTTTGTTTTGTTTTGTTTTGTTTTTTCAAGACAGGGTGTCCTCGTAGCCCCAGCTGTCCTGGAATTCACTATGTAGACCAGGCTGGCCTCAAACTCACAAGGATCCGCCTCCCTCTACCTCCCATGTGCTGGAATTAAAGGCATGCGCCCCCATGCCAGGCATGCCTTTTTTTTTTTTTTTTTGTCTTGTGTTATTTCTTATGATTAGTTAAGTCATGCTCATTTTAAAGCTCAGAACAGCAGAGAATTCTCTTAAATAGGAAGCAAGTTCTATCTGAGCCACAAAATCCATTCATGAATGGTAACAGCTATGCTCTAACTTGTATGCGCTTGGGTTTTTATTGTTGGCTTTCTCTTTGAACTCTTTCTTTTATACCTACCACACAATCATTCCAGTCCTGTTGTTGTTAAAATATTATAAATTCACCCTTCAAGAATTATGTAGTTTATACAGAAATACACAGACCAAGTATATAGCGTTATGACCAGGAATACATTTAAAACAATGAAATAAGTGGCTGCATATTTCCATTTGGCTAGGAGGCAGGCTTTAAGTACTCATGGCATTTCCCCTACAGCACTCTACAATCCAAGTAAGTAAGGTTCAACACACTTTTCTCATCATTCACAAAGAACATCTCACCCAGCAAGGTCTAACGCTCGGATGTTGCTACTAATGGTTCCTTCTGAGCTCGTGGTCGAAGAGACATCCCAACAGCGGTTCTTATCAGACAGAATCTGGTTCAGATGATCCCGAGAAAAATGGGTTCCCTGAACTCGCTTCCTATAAAACTCAGCCTTTTCTCGGAGTTCTTTAACCTACGCAAAAGAGTTCAGACATCATGTATTACTGCCAATGCTCCTTTACAAATACCAACAAGTACATCTCAAAGCCAATGCACAAATACAGCCCAAGTCCAATGGGAAAAGAAGGTAAAAACAGCCACATATACTCATCAGCACATTTAAGCAGAAATTAAAACAACCAAGCAAAAGCACAATGCAGTTACTTCTGACTAACAGGCAGGGAGACATTTGTAGCAGCTAAGAAAAGTATTCACACATACTTTTTTAATCCAGCTGAAATTATACTAGTACTCTATGTATTATTATAGTTTTTAAGAACTCAAAAGCAACCAACCTCTGCATACCACATGGCATTTAGAGAACCCTAGGGGAGGAATACAGAAAGACACTTAATGACAGGTTAATGCCATAAATGAGTATTGTTGGGAATCAGTGAGACATTGAACCTTATTATTCCTCCTTCTAAGTACATACCAAACATGTCAATCAATATTTCCTGGACTCTTAGTAATATTTAATTCAGTACCCAAGACATCTTAATATTACTTTTAGAAGCAGTCACATTCTTACATGGCTATGACGCTGCTGCTGACAAGTAACTTGACTGCTATTCCTATTTCCCCACCTCTGGAAGAATACTTACATGCCAATAATTCCCGCCTGGCTTTATTCCCCAGCTTTACATGCAGCTTCTACCACTACAGAAGCTCCAAATGTGAAAGTTGTGGGTGGCCCTCTCCAAATCCCTCAGTGCCCTTGGAGTCAGCAAGACCTCAACTTGGAAAAAAAGGTATTAACTAAATATATAATTAAAAAAAAAAAACTCCTAACAAGTAATAGTGATATATTCAACCAGGTGACAGGATATTTCTAAAAATTACTATGAACTACAGAATGCTTTGAATTTCCTAACCTGCAAGTCATAAACTGTCACGAGAAGCCCATATACCTACAAAATCCTTGTATTTTACACATTACACTGCCACCTGCTGGCTTCTGAAAATGCAACTGTACAGTATCAAAAACAGAAGCTGAACCCTTACAATTTTGCTCCAAAATCTTTATTTTTTTAAAAAAATTTTATTGCACTGATTTTATTTGTGTGTGCGTATGTGTGTGTGTGTGCGCGCGCGCGCACGCCACAGCATACATGTGAAGGTCAAAGGATAACTTTTGGGAGTCGGTCTCCTTCAAACATGTGGGAAGAGGGGATTGATCTCAGGTCATCAGGCTTGATAGCAAGTGCCTTTTATCCACGGAATCATCTTGCCAGCCCTAAAATACTTATTCTTGGAAAACATCTATGATTTTCCTATCATAAAGGTAGATTACCGCAGTATTAAAATAATATCAAATACAGTGTACTAGAACTGCATTTCACTTAAAGGGAAAAAAGAAAAGCAAAAGAAAGTTGGTAATGCAAAAGCAACTGGAGAAACAGCCTCAGCTCCTTAACAAGACACAGGTTTTTGTTTTGTTTCATTTTATTTGAGACAGGGTCTCCCTGTAGCCCCAGCAGGCCTGGAACTCACTATGTAGACCAGGCTGGCCTCAATCTCACAGAGATCCACCTGCTTCTGCCTGCTGAGTGCCGGGATCAAAAGCATTCCCAACCACATGACACTTTTTTAATGCAAAAGGATTGAGAGCACTCCCTCTTTAGGAAATAGCCAAGCAAAAGACAGCACTTATAAAAGCATAAGAAACCATACAATCCCAGCAGACCCTCTATCGACCCAAACCTAAAAAAAACCTAAAGAACAATTTGATGTACTGTTTTCTCCACTAAAAAACATGAGTTATGCTTGTGAATGATTTCTATTAACACCCACACTTCAATGAAAATTACCATGGTGGTTTCTGCATCAACAAACAGAACTAAGACACATAATTTAAGCGTGTTGAGCTTCTAGTTCAGGAATTCTGAATGCCTAGGAAACTGGTTACAAAGTGCCTTGTCTACTCCACATTTTACTGTTGGTGCCTATGTACCAAATGCTTCCATATCTACATAAAGCCTACATGCCTTAGTATCACTTCTCTGTGTTCCCCATGAATTAAGTACTTCTAGAGGTGAGGGAAAAGTGCAGCACATCAAGTGGTGATTCCTTAACCTGTCCTGAGTGTGGCCCAAGCAGTAACCTGAGGTAGACAGCTAGCAACCAGAGAGAAGCAAGAAATTCTCACACTCACTGTACTTACACTAGGACAAAGGAGGCTGCCTGGACGGAAACTGTCACATGACACTGAGACAATCTAATAAACAGACGAGATACAAACTAAAAAGAGAAGTTCAAAAGAGGGTCCAGTCACTAAAGTCTTGAGTGCTGGGCAGAGTGCAGGAGCAGTCAAGGAGGCTAGTCTATTCACGTGGGGTCACCATACTGCTTAACAAATGAGAGAATGGGTAAGAGGCCCTCTCTACACAGTGATCCACTTTTGATATCAACTATTTAGAAAAAAGAAAGAGAAGATGTTGCATAAAAACTCAGCATTTGCTACTGAGATTTGAAACTCAATGCTTTCAATTTTCTCTATCAACCATCCTTCTGGATAATCTATCTTCGTGCTAATGTAATATTTTTACATTTAAATGTCTATAATTCTAAACTAGAATGAAGACTTAGGAGGCTGACATCTCCCAAAGTAAAGTGTTCTACTAGAAAGAGAAAAAAAGATGACCGTGGACCCAGAATGGCCCTAAAACCAATGAGCAGAACCACTGAAAAGGATAAAAAGAAATCATTCTCAACTAAAGCAATGCACAAGGTAACGCCATCCAATTATAGTATATAAATACCATAAGCAGGGGCTGGAAAAATGGCTCATTGGTTAAGAGTGCTGCTGCTCTTAAAGAGGACTGGAGTTCAGTTCCCAGCACCCACATCAGGTGGCTCACAACTGCCCATTAACTCCAGCTTCAGGGGATCCGGTGCCTTCTTGTGGCCTCCATGGACACGCACACATGTACACTCATGTATACACACACAGACACACAAACACACAACGAAAAATAAATTTAAATATTGTAAGTAGAATATTTTCATTACTGAATTACTTTTTCCAAATTGAAAAATTCAGCTGTAAGTTATCTAAAATCTACATGCAGAAAAATCAAATTCAATTTTCTTTTCTCAAAAATCATGCCAAGGGCCAGGCATGATGGTGAACACCTTTAATTCCCTGCACTCAGGAGGCAGAGGCAGGCTGATCTCTGGGAGATAGAGGCCAACCTGGTCTACACAGTGAGACCCTGGCTCAAGCAATAACAACAACAAAAAAATCATACTGCCAAATGAGGAGCAATCTTCTACCTGGCTCTTACAGCATCTGTCAAATTATAGGCTATCTCTCAAACGTGGGTCTTTATCTTGAATCCTGATTGTCCTGACAAGTTAAATCAATAATCAGGCCCAAAAGATGTAAGTGCCAGGGATGGTGATGCACGCCTATAATCGCAGCACTCCAGAGGCTGAGACAGAAGATTGCTGTCCATTCAAAGTCAGACAGTATGAGACCCTCTCTCAAAAAACAAAACCAAATATTAATTTAAAATATTCAGAAATTGTGCTGAGGAGGAGGAGGCTCTACCAATTTTCATTTGCTGGTTATTAGGACCTGTCTTTTAGGAAGGCGCTGTATAAAGCAGCAGTGCAAGTGGCCACATCGTACTATGAGAAATATAAAGCATACCCAAAGTCACTGCCCCAGATATAAATCAGTAGGTATTGGGACTTAGGGTAGAACATCCAATGGTTTTGCTAAAAACAGATTCTGAAAGTGCAACATTTCAACAATATAAAAGAAAATGAAAACGGTATCTGAACTAGAAAATTGTAATGACTCAAAACGTGGCTCAATGGATAAAGTGCTTGCTCTGCAAGCATAAGGACCTGGGTTCAGAGCCCCAGCACCCATGTAAAAATCTGGGTGTCAGGGTGCTGCCCTGTAATTCCACCATTGGGAGGCAGAGACAAGCGAATCCTGTGACAGCATACCTAGTTAAGTAGTGAGCTCCAGGTTCAATGAGACCCTGTCTTAAAACTAAGGTGGAGAGTGACAGAGGAAGACACCCAACATTAACCTCTGGCCTCCATATACACACACTTAGGCAGTGCACATGTGCATATGCACACATACACCACACACATATACACATACACCAGAAAAATGTTGAGAGGGAGAAGATGACTTTATATTCTGGTACCCATTATTAGTCACATACAACAAACACCTTTCAGAAAAAAAAAAGAAACTAATATTTGGGCAAAATATGGTCCATATTAAAGGTCTACAACCTAGTTAAATGAAAACTGATCACTAATTTCTTAGATAATTTATGTTGTTTTCTAACACCAATTTTTAATTTTAATTACTTTGCTTCAAGAAGTTAAGACAAACTATTCTCCTAACTTATGTATAACTACCAGTAATAATTAATAAAACAAACAAAAAGCTACATCACCATGATACCGTTATGGGTAACCTTGAGAAAGTAGACCCTAAATTAATTTAATTATTATTAATAATATGAATTAATTTCATTGGGGCAAGATAAGAAACTTCACCTTACCATGATTCATAATAAAAAGTCCTCTCATTAGATGTTTAGATTTGAGGCCTAAATATCAACTCACCTTAGTTTAAAGAAATCTCACAGAGTAGCAAAGAATCTTTCCAAAGCAAGCCTTTCTCATGACTTAGCCTAGTGAAGTGCCTAGCCAGGACACAGTGGCTAGCTCCTACCTCCTGGCCCCAGTGGCCACGATGTCCTGCCCATATTCCCAGGTTTTCTCCTGCCCTATCCAACTCCCTAGACACATACTCCTTGCTAAGCTCTGGGATACTCTTAAGCTGCTCAAGCACTTCTATCATGACTGCTTTGGATGCTTAAAATTGTCACTTGAATTCACCAGAACGGACAAATGATGGCCCAAATGAAACCCAGGACACTTGGCACTCTGCCTCTTCCTCTGCCTGTGTAGCCCGAGCCATGCCCAGGCAGCCAGCCATGGAGTAGCTGCAGTGGAAGAAATAAAGGAACCTCCTGAAGCAGCAGGCAGAGGACAGGAGCGCCAGGACATCTGTCTGGGAACTGCCAGCTCAATGTGCTAGCACTGCGCCTCAGAAGCTGATGACGCACATTGCTGGCCGTAGTATTAAGCAGAGCTAAATAAAGAAATTCATTCCCCATCCAAATTATCCTTCTTTACAACAATGGGTAGAGAAGAATGTCTACTATGATCTAAACAACTGTTTCAATTTAGCTTGTGCATATGAAAAAAGGATGAAAACTGTCAGGATCTGGTCTTAAAGACGCTAATTTTATAACAATCAAAATGTTCCACTGTTGACTAGAAGAAGCCCTATTTCTCATAACTGCCCTTTCTTCAAACCCATAATTAGGTCCCCAGAGATTCTCCCCTATGTCAGGGCACCCAACAGTAGAACTTGGACCCGTGTGAGCTCAGGCTACACCTGCCCTTTGCCTCTGGACTGCAGTGGTGCACATTGGCAGGGGCCCTACCTTCATGTACATTACTGATGGAAAACTGATCTTCAGTGAGACACTGAAAGTCGGGACGCCATGAGAACCAAATCAGTAATGCTAAGTTCTATAAACTGAACTGATTAAAAAAATCAGATGTCTGATGATTTAAAATACGGCTTTAATAATAAATATCAGTGTCTAAGGAGGTCATTTAACAGTAAACACACTGGTAAATATTATCTTACTGAACACAACTTAAAGATCCTGTAATTTTTGCTGCTATTACTATATCATTCATCTTTACATTATGAATGGAACTCATCATAAAACCGTTAGACAGACTGGAAGACTCACCTGACTGGACATGTTCTCCTTCACACGTGTCCAAGACCCAGCTGTATATAAATACTGGGCTGGGCTCAGAAATTTTGCTTTGTATTCAGAATTCACCTTCCTATGAGAGATGAAATAGAATTAAGTATTTCAGTGTGTTGACCATGTAAATAAGATAATTTTCTTATCAAATACATACCCAAGCCTTTGGTGTCGCCAAGGAGTAAGCTTCTTTTTAGGCTGCTCTGAGTCTTTTGATGCCATCTCTTGTAATTCTGAAGGATCGTCTGTCGTATTATACTAAAATGGAAATAATTTAAGCTTTTATGCACAAATATGCCACATGTTAAAGTAAAAAAACATTGGTGTTATAAAGGTTGGCTTGGATAGTCTATTACTTTTTTGTTTTTAGAAGTTCTAACTTCTAAAGAAAACAGAACTCAAAAAAAAAAAAAAATCAATAAGTAAGTTTTGAAACCAGTGCATCTGGTTAGATTTTTTTAAGTACAGCTTAAGATATAGTTTCATTTCCTAATCAGGAGTTTAGATCCCTGACTAAGGAAACTTTTTTAAAAATGTTATTAACAAAAACCATCTAAATAAGTAAACAATGTTACTACATACTGAACAGGAATCTTAAATTTGTTCTTCAGTTTGTCCTCAAATTGACATTCAAGGATACAGTAATTAAATGCAATTTTGTTGATTAAGTTACAAAAACAATTTACAGAATACTTAACACTTCTTCCCCCAAGAATGTTATTGGTCCAAAAAAAAATAAAGTGTGTCTGTGCACAATGTATATAATTTTACTTTCAGTCATATATTTTCTATTTTTTAAGAACCACAAAGTATCACATAACAAGAGTCCTAAAAAATAGTATTCATATTTCATTTTCCTACAATTAACAATGATTCTAGTCTGATGCCACAACTTAAAATATCTGTAAATTCAAATACAGATGCAGGTGTCTATACTCACTGAATAATGTGAATTATACTGGCTATAACTGAACAGAAAAAAGTTTCTTAAAATACATATGCTTAATTTCTACTGCTTAGAATTTCTACTGCTTAATTTAAAATACACGTTTCTGTAATTTCTGCTACGCCTGGGGCTCACAATACTGTTAGTGAGGCCAATCATTTGACCCTAGACAGGAAGACTTTCCTACTGTATGACTGCTAATTATTTATCTCTGCCCCCACTAGCCTAAGAGCTGCTGGGCCTTGGTTTCCTAACCTCTACTCTCAGGACCTACCCAGGGCCTGGCTCCAAATAAGCACTCAACGAACACGTGGCATTTAATGAACAAATAAATGAATTAATGGTAGCAAAAAGGAGGAGATTCCAGGTGGCAGTAAAAGAAAACACACAGACTTGAAAACCATGGGCTTTTTGTTAAAAGGTTAGGAGTCAGGGAATACCTTTTCTGGAGATAATATTTCAAGATTTATATTTTCTTTCAAATCATCTCTTAATTTTGGTTCTTTGACTGGAGATAAGCCCTTGAAATTCCTTTTGTATTCAGTTTCATGGATGACCGAACTACCTTGGAACTGTGGAATAATTTGGCTTTTATTGCGGAAAACCTTAAAACAAAAATTCATCAGTTAATTTTCTGGTTGGTTTAAGTAAAACAGAACTTATATGTTTAACTACTTTTAAAAACATATATAAAGTTGGACTATAGGACAAAAAAAGCATAACTGTATATGATTGCGATTTCATTTCACATATCTAATGAATAGCCAAAGGTCAAATTTCTATATCTGTTAGTATGTCTTGAATGAATACTCAAATTGTGAGCAAAATACTACTTAAGCAAAAATAATAAACATATTCGTATTTATCTTTTCTCCTCAGAGTTCCCCAGCCTTCCTCCCATCAGTTTAGTAGTACGGTAAATGAAATAAGCATATTTAATAATATGAACACAGACATTAGTTTTATTAAAGCAACTGCTGTCAGCTCTAGAGTATTTTTCTCTGAAATTTTCTTTCTATCTGAAACAAAAAAAATTTCTTAATATTCTGAATGCCTGATATGTCTGATATGTTCGATCTGGTTTTGGGTGGGTTTTGTTTTGTTTTGTTTTGTTTTTCCATTTCCTTTGCTTGCTTATTTTTAGATTTTTCATTAAGGCAGGAAAAACTTCCAGGAATTATTATATTTCTCTTTTAAAATGTTCTCTTTTATCCATAATATTTAATATGGTTCCCATGTATTGGTATATTACCACTCATTTTACATAAAGCAAATGAGGAGAAGGAGCTCAGGGAAACTATACAGCATTATTGCTTTGCAACACTGAATAAGACCTCTTCATATAGACCCAATCTAAACAGTATACCTTTTCAGTACAATATAACCTCAAGGGCTTTCCAGCCCCAATCTGTTAGGACGCCTTTAAATAATATGATGTCCTTAGGAAAAAAAGGAAAAAAGGTCCCTCATCAACAAGCACTGAAAGCGTACCACAGAGCCCTTCAATCCATACATCTGAAACGGATAGGCTTTGAATGGAAACAGAGCATTTGCTTCCAAAAGGCCTTTGAATGCCTCACTTAATGAAAGCAATGGAATTACTAGTGAAGACACTCTTCATGGCTTATTTCATATTGTATTTTTGATCCTACGAAAAAGCATCTCTAGAGAATAGTTTCCTTGACATGTGAAATTTGTCAAAAAGACTTTGATATGAATCAGCTCTAGTTTACCGGTGAAATACTCTACAAACACTGAACAATCACAATGTTCAAGCTTAAGTATTTTTTAGGAACATTTACTATCCAAGAATATTTGCAAGCAAGCAAAAGAAGTACTGTTCCTACTTATTAGGTTAATTTTTTAAAAAGAGTACATATCACTGTAATTTTCCTATAGTCCTAACATATATTTTGGTAATAAGTAAGCAAAACTGCCATATTTTACATGACCAGAGGTCTGATTATGTCAGCGTAAGATCATTCAGGATATTTCCTAGTCAATCTAATCATGCTCCCAGTTTTTAGGCATTCATAGAATATATGTAAGTGAACACTGAAGTACAGGAAAAATGAATCCAGGGCACATAGTGTATGCTTTCAAAAAAATACAGGGGCTGAAGAGATGGCTCAGTGGTTAAAAGTACTCGGTGCTCCTCAAAGGACCCGGATTTAGTTCCCAGCACACACATGGCAGCTAACAACAACCTGTAACTCCAGTTCCAGGGAATCCAACACCCTCCTCTGACTTCAACAGGTACCAAGCATGCCATGTGGTACACATACATATATACAGTCAAAACATTCATACACATGAAATAAAAATAAATATTAAAGAAAAAAGAAAACTATAAAGATCAGGAAAAAGAAAAGACAACGCAGTCATGGACTTCTGAAGATACTAACATGGAGTTCAAAGTATAGTTAAGAATATGAGTCCAGAGCCTGAGAGCCTAGAGGACAATGGCTAAGCAGTTAGCAGAGCATCAGCAAGAGCAGTGTGACACCGAAACTGCAAAATAATGCCATCTAGTCTCACATTTAGCTCACCATGCCTTCTGAATTTTACAAATATATTTAAACTCAATTCCTGTCAGCATTCAACTGATACAGGGCAAAATTACAAATCTAGTGCTACTTTCAATATATTTTATATTTATGAAAGTAAATATCCAAGGCAGCTATGTTTTTCTTAAAAAACAGAAATCATGCAAAAATAATATTAGTCACATAAACAAAACACTTCAGAAGATAGCCAATTTAATGATTTCTTTAAACTAAAGTGGCATGCAAACACCACTTCCCCCAGTTTTCATTAGCCTGCCTCCTATTTAGTAGAAAGTCAGTAACCCAGGACAGTATAACATGACTCCAATAAACCATAAGGGATAGTGTGATTGTAACAAAAGTCTGATTCTTAGTCTTCTAGAACCTACCGGCAGGCCTACTAAGTATCTTTCAGCTCTTAGATCTACTTAAATATGTATTACTCGGTCAGATGAGAAAACTCAGAAACATCCATCTGTTAAACTACCTGATTGGCTGCAAACACTGGAGCAGTCTCTCTAGAGGTCTTCCACACAAACTGCCTTTGGTATTCAGAATTTCTCAAGGCATTATTCGAAGGAGGAACAGTCAGTCCAGCTTTCTTACGCAGATGCCTATCCAACTGTTAGGGGGAGAAAAATCCACTCAAAGCTTTTAAATTTTTCTACTCAAACTCTTTTTAAGTTTAAATTGTGCTATAAAACACAGAACATTACAATTACCCTCCTAAGTTTTAAGTGTACCTTACCATGTTACTGACTCTATGCATACTACCTTACCATGTTGCTGACTACATGTACCCCACTGTACAGTGAACTTTCACCTGCTAAATAATCACTTTTCAACTGTGAAACTATTTAAAAATTCCTTCCTTAATACTGTTAAGGGTCTATTATGCATCTCAGAAAAAAACTATTTCTCAGTTCCTGCCTACCAATCAATCAGCAAAATAAACCATAGCACCAAGCCCTTTCCAAACGTGCTGCTTCTGTGGCCACCTTTCCCCTGCCCAGCAAAATCACACATCACCTTCCTTGGCCCCCTACGCCCCCTGGCTTCCTCAACAAGCCATGGATTCCTCTTCAGCACTCCAACGGCTCTGGGGTTCCAGTCAGTGGTAGAAGTGAACTAGGCAGAAAGCAATGGTCTGGAGAAGGAAACATGTGAGGCAGTTGAGATCCCCACATGTCAGCCCTGCAGCCTCTGCTTATGTGCTGGCGGGGACCTGGTGCAGGCCAGCTGTGACATAAGAGGGCAGAACTGCAAGACCTTTGAGGGCCAGCCAGAACTCTCCTTCCTTTGCCTGCTATCAGCTGAGATTCTGTTTGTTTTCTTGCTGGTACACAGTAAGAAAGTGAAATGGGGATAGGAAGGTGTCAGCTCAGCACCCCAGCCAGGAGCAGCAGCCTACTCCCTTTCTGTCTCAACTTGATCCCTCCCTTAGGACTCAGGTGCTGGTGTCTGATGAAAATCCAGAGGCAGACTGTCCATCCAGGGAAGGCATGTCTTAATATAACCAGTACAAAATATCTAGTAGTAAGAATAGGACCATTCTCAGTGACTTGTCAGCAGCCTCCTGGCAATTATACCACAGACTCGGGTCAAGAAAGCAACAATGGGAAAATTCTAAACACAAAATGTAATAGTACCGAAATAATGAAGCCAAAAAAGACTGTCACATTTTGAGAAGAAATATTCCTACCCTGCTATCTACATTCTCTGAAAGAGGTTTCATAGAAGGTTCCAGCTCCACATTTTCATTAACTGGTATATGGTTCTTTAGAATATCCTGGTGCTTTTCCACAGCATCTGAAGTCCCTTCAGCTCTGGAGTCCGCAGAATGAGATCGGGTTCTCTTGGGAACCCGGGAGGCTTCTAGTGAAAGAACTCTTTCTTGGGTAGCATCTTCTTTCTGTTCTGCCTCTTGTGGTTTTGGTGCTTGAGGGGCTTGGGGTTCAGGCGGAACAACCACCTCATTTTCTGAGATGGCTCCATTCCACTCCAGGGATTTTGAAATCTGAGGGTCGTGGTGGGGGACTCTTCTTTTTGAAATAAAACTTGGCTCTTTTGTGATCCCTACAAAACACAACACATGCAAGTAGATGCTACCAAAGCTCAAAGTTAGACAGCTTTTAATAATGCCTGTGAGGGGGAAAAAAAAGAGAGTTTAAATTCAGTTGAGATGCTGACAACACAGGTCAGTGGGTAAAGGCATCTGCTGCCAAGTCTGATGACATCCCTGGGACCCACATGGTAGGAGAAAACCAACTCCCAAAAGTTATCTTCTGACCTCCACACATGTGCCACAACACAACACACACACACATACACGTGCACACACAATACGTAATAAAAAAAAAGTTGAGATACACATATACATAAACACATAAATTCCTCCAGGTTATTAGATTTTAAAAACTAGGTATAGTTTTCAACATCAAATATTTAATTTTGCTTTAAAGAAATATTAAAAGTTTGACCATAACAAAAAATTAAACATTGGGGTCACAATGTTCAAGTTATCCTCACACAAGTAACTGGAATCACACCATGAGGGAGCTGGCAAGGCAGGCAGTCCGTGTCCTTCCGTTTCTAATTACTTTCCTGTGCTACTTAACAGAACAATAAGCCCTGGTCTGTCAAAATCTGGAACTTTTCACAAAGCTTCTCTTATGCAGAGCTCAAGATGCAAAGGGATGAGATGTCCTTATGCTAGATCTTGGTTCTACTCTTGCCTTGATTTCCTGAGAATTAGAAAGAATGAACCTTTTAACAAGAGCCAGATACAATTTCTCTATACTTCTGTCTGGCAAGCAAATATCTAAAAACTTAAGCTTCTACGGAGGTAAGAGGAGCTTTGTGATGACAGTCACTGAGACAGTGCCCTAGTTTGGGGCCATTCTTTAAATAGAAAGACCGCCGCAGGGTAAGGAAGAACAAGACCGCAGCGGAAGGAAAGGGAAGGCGGACAGAAAACCTGACAAGAGGTAAAACCCACCACATCTCTCTGGGATGCTTCTGCCATTGAGCGAAGGGTCCCATCCTCCCAGGCTGCCCTAGACCAAGGGACTTCAAATGGACAGGCACACAAAGCCATCTGTGGGAGAAGGGTAAGCAGAAATTCGAGTTTTCTAGATCTGCAACTCCCTATGTACTCTTGCCTCCCACTGATCTGCCTGCCACCTACAGTGCTATTACTATGGTCCCTTTGGTGACCCTACTCCCACTTCACAAAAGACAGGCACACACCTCAACCAGCCTGAAACCCACACTGGTGGATCACTTCGACATAGTACAAGATCTCGGGTAGCTAGACAAACAAGGGGACAAGAAAGCCCAAGTCACTCCTGAGGGAAAATATCTGACAGGAAAGCAAAGGCAGAGACTAGAAGTCACAAATGAACAGCCTCTTGTTTCATCACCTTTTCCATCCGCCTATCTTAAAGTTCAGATGTGCGAGGGCTGCCATGGGAATGCACATATGCACCTTAACTTTGAATCAGAGGGTAAAGGTAGACTTTTCTCACAGAAAACCACTAATTTGCCAATGAAGGCTGACTATGCAAATTACACAATGAACACTTTCTGTAAATTGAATGAGTCAAATTTACAACTCCAAAGTTTTAACAAAATATATGTAAAGCATATATACAGTATCCAATATACCAAAACATCCTTTGAAACTATTTGTGAAAAGTAAGAACAAAAAAAAAAATTAAAGATCAATTTTGAAATAGGAAGGGTGTTACCAAAATGTTCTTATCTTTTTGTTTGTGCACGGGGGATCAAAACCAGAGTCTTGAATATGTTGATATGTTGGACAAGTGCTCTACCACTCAGTCACTCTCCCCCACCCTCTAAATTCTTTTAGGATCTATGAAAGCAAAAAAGTTGGAAGCCCACTATCTTAAGACTTCTGCTTCAACACAGGGTGGGAATCTGGGTAATGAAATGAAAGGGGAAGGTTCTCAGATCATCTACCCTTTGTCTCAAAGCACCAGCAAATCCCCAAGGAAGGAAAACAGACTATGTTAGAACAGCCAGTCCTAGGTGAGGCTGCGGTTGCTCCTAGTTAAGCTGCCACCTCCATTTCTGAATAGCCTGGAGTTCTTGCTCTGGCCCTTGTTCTTACCTAAAATTCCCGTAACATTCCTCCCCACCACTCCTTCCTTCAAAATGCACCCTGCTCTAAAATGCTTTCACTTACAAGGTCTCTACTCACCACTGTGCCCTTGAATGAAGCTGATCTCAGCTAGAAGGCTAGAAGGCAGTTAATCAGGCTGACCAACTGTGTGTCCAATCATACCCCTACAGCCTTCGATGAGATGGTTGTACTTAAAGACAACTTTACTTGGCATTCTTAATCTAATGGTGCCTCAGAAGTCCAGGACTTATGAGCAGAGGGGCTTTCTAGAATGCTGCCTGAGAATTAGAGTCACCCAGGGCCAAGAATCCTGATGCTTCAGAGGAATTCTAAAAGAGCTCTTCCTTCTGCTCGCCAAACCTAATCCAAACACATTCCTAATTTTACTACCTTCCTAGGACTGGTACCATAGCTATAAGTCTTATCATTTCCTAGGTCCAAACACCTAACATTTGAGGGACTTACACACAGTCATTCTCACACTATCACCTACAGAGCCCTAAGCACTGATCTATGTACAAACATCAGGCCCTAACCAAGCAACACCTCATATAATCCCTCCCAACAATCTTAAGCAGTGTGCTTCCTAAAGTCAATTTAGTAGGTTTAATTAAACTTAAAGTTCAAGATTATAGTTATTATAGGTTCAACTTCAGATTTATTTATTCATTCAAAAATTAGTTTTAGGGCTGAGGAGATGGCCCAGCTGCCTTGCAAGGACAGTAACCTGCGTATGATTTCCAGAACTCATACAAAGAAGCCAGGTGTGGAGATGCATGCTTATAATCAGAGCACTGGGGAGTGGAGACAGGTGGATCCCTGCAGCTCACTGGCCAGCCAGTCTAGCTAATTGGTAAGCTCCTGGCCAATGAGAGACTTTGTCTCAAAATAAGGTGGCCAATGTTCCTGAGGAAGCACCACCCAAGATTGTTCTCTGGCCTCCACATGTTTATGCAACACATTTCTACCTGCACACACACAAACATATAAAAAAATAAAAATAAATTAAAAATTAGTTTTAACATAGTGTCTCAAAGCCCTGAGTTTATATTGGCAAAGAACAAGGAGACAGAGCCTGCTTTCAGAGATCGTATATTCTAGTGAGGGAGAAACCGAGCAGATAATAAAGTCCAACCACCTCTTCTCATCATACTCATCATGTTGGCCCAGGGCTCAAATTCACTAAGGTGTAGAGGAGGAAGCATGTGCAGTAAGTAGGAGGAACATAACCTGAGTTCACTATGAACCTGGAGCAAGCTACTTTACCTAAGTTGCCACTCCTCAAGGCTTTGTGGGTCCTCTTCCCCAGGTCTGTACCCTTGGATTTTCAGATTCTGGCTCACACATCACCAGAAGAGCCTTTCCAGACCAGCACAACTAAAGTGTATTCCCTTCAATGCGACTCTTCCCTATGTTACCTATCATGCTATTTATACACAACTTGAAATTAGTAAATTACTGAATTTCTTCTTTCAGTTATATCACTAGTTGCTGAATACTCTAGGAGCATGGTACACTATCAAGAAATAGTTGTTAAATATATGAATGAGTTAGTAAGCAGTTTTGTCAACTTAGCCCAGCACTTACTCAAATTATAATGGCTATTAGTTTGCTCAACTTACCTAATTGATCTGATCTAAGTCCAGCCCATGGGTACTTTCGCCCCACGGAGGGATTATAGGACTCTGACAAATACGACTTTTTCCACAGAAAGTTTCTCTGATATTCACTCAGTCCCTGTAATGTAAAGTACAATTTGAGTACAACGTAAATCACTGTTTTAAAACGCAGGCATCAGTAGAACTATCTTCTCGACTTCCAAAAGGGGTTGAAAGGCCTAAGAATGATAATAAACCTGGACAAGCTCCTTAATAAGAGCTAATATTTACCCAGCCCTGGGCTAAGCATGCGTTACATCCTTTAATCCTCACAACCGTTGCTTGAGGAGTCTGAGACTCAGGGAGGCAGTCCTTTTGCTGCTTCGCCAATTGCAGTGTGAGCTCATCTAACAACGGGTAACCTAAACCCTTATCACTACAGATTTATCCTAAATCGCACGTGCAAGATTATTATGGATTATGCCTAGTTCCTTTTAATAAAGGCAACCAGAGAAAGGCTGGCGCCCCTCCCATTCTGGCAACAAGTCCTTGGGAATTAGAGTCAGTATTTCTAGAACACTATGGTCACCTGTTGCGCGGAAGGGTTGCTAGACCCTGACAGCTACCTGGAACATTTAACAAATCCTAAAACAAACGAGCAACTATGTACTTATATCCACGCTCTCCCTCTACTCAGGGCCCGTTTCTCAAGCTTTCAGGAGACACAGACACTTTAAAGTTTTACAGGGAAAGGTGATGGATACTGAGAGCCTACAGGGTCCCAAACTGAACCAGCCTTGCCTGCATCCCACTAAGAAGCGCCACCCCCACCCCACCCCCACCGCCGTCTCCGCTCCTAGCCCCGGGGTGACCGTCTCCCGGAATCGACCTCTCCCCACACCAGCAATTCGGCGCACCGCCAAGAGCCCAAGCATCCCAGGGACCCCGGCACTGGCTCCGGGCCGGCAGCCTCAGTGCGGCCGAGGATCCTCGCGCGGCGCACTCGCCCGGCACGGTCCCCGCGGTCCCCGGCCTCACCTTGAAGCGCACCGGCATGTCGCCCTGCGCTGCAGACCCCGCCGGCGGCAGTTAACGGGACTGAAAGCCCCGAGGGGGCGGGGCGACAACAGTCGGTTCCCTGGCAAATTAGCCTCGGCCGGCGTCCCCGACTACGCGCAGGCGCACTCGGCGCCTCCAGCCCGGAGCCCCGTAGCTCCGCCTTTCCCCGCCCCTTTGGAAGCCTGAAGACCAATGGTGGCCCTTACGGTCATTACGATTTCACCAACCAGCGCTTAGAAGGGCGCCAACCCGCTCCCTCGCCGACCGCGGAAGGCTAAGGATGGCGGGCGAGAGCCGGCCAATGAGGCTACGGGAACTGCGGAGGGCGTGGCCCGCGGGAGCTTCGTCCTCCCCGGCGCCTTCACGCGCAACAATGGGGCTTCGCACCCGCCGGCTACCTCAGAGCGGCCTTCTCTGGCCTCAGCTCCCTGACATCATAGAACGTGAAAGGGTGCGTTTGCATTCCAGAATGCACGCCAGAACCCAATGTTTCTTTTTCCTGAAAGGAAATTGTCCAGGACGACCAGGCTGAAAATGAGTGCCACAGCTATGTTACACTATTACCCCGCATCAAAAGGAATAGGCCCCCAAACATAAATGCAAGGTAGGCAGGTTAAAATGAATGTTATTGAAACCACAAAGACAAGGCACTGACTTCCTCTAGTGATGCTCTTCCTCTTCCAGTCTCTGACCCCCTCCAGAAAAGAGGCACATACAGGGGCTTAAAGTTAAAAGCTTTATTAAATATGATTGTGAAGGCAGAGACAGGAGGATCTCAGTGAGTTTAAGGCCAGCCTGGTCTACTAGTGAGTTCCAGGACAGCTACAGGGGCTACAGGGAGACCCTGTCTCAAAAAGATCTATATATATGCTTGTGAATCTCAGCTTCCAATCTCTCAGCTCTGTTTCTCCTCTCACCTGTTTTTTAAAATTTCAACTGATTTTAATGAGTTATTGCCATCGTCATCAATAAATATTCCTGAGAACATTGTGCTAACCCTGAGGATCGATGGTGCGGCGGGGGTGGAAATACCCCACAGGTTCCTCTGACATATTTGGGAAAGATGTTCATATATATTTATTCAATGATAAGACTATATGTCCTGTGCTCGGTTTCCAAAGAAGAGGTGAAAAGTTTGGAGCAGAGAGTCATCCCTGAGGGTAGAGAAAAATCAGAAAAGGAAGTTTCAGCCTTGGCCTTGAAGACTAGGCTTGCAATAAGAGAACACTAAGATGATCAAAGGGCAGAAGCCTGGATAGAAGGCTGCCTAGCTACTTCTACGAATAATAAATAGACCTGTTATTTTTGTCATTTGTTGACTGGGGAAAAAACTCTTAAATGTTCAGTTATTAACATTAACCTTTCATGCTCCCTTTTAAGCATTTTCTGCAGACTCGTCTTCTTGATTCCTAATTGATGTCTCTGTTCTTCTTCACCATCACTGAGATACTTAAAAATTCATTTGAAGGAGCCACCTGATACCTAAAACAAAGAGAATATTAAATAAGTCCGTGTGCAGCCATGCAACCAGGGGGCCCTTGATTAATGTTAATTGGTGATGACAGCTTCTCTGCTGTGTGAATTAAGAAATGGCACAAAGAAGACACAGTGGAACATAAAACAAAAGTCCTCTGCAGGAGGCTAAGCCAGATCTTAGGGTAGAAAAGACTCAATTCAGACCACGCACAGTTTTGTCACCACACAATGCCAAGGAGTCAGCATGAAAAATGAAGTCTGTCTGCTAAACAAGGACAGTGCTGTGATAGAGTTCTGCTGAGCAGGGACTCAGTGACAGGAAAACCAAATGGCAGGTAGTAAAATGACTTTATGACATCCCAGGTTTGCATGAGATATATTATCAGAACTCAAGGAAGAATACTTTATTATCATTTATTATTATCATTATTATTTAATGTGTATGAGTATATTGCCTACTTGCATGTAAGTGCACCTGTGTCCTGCAATGCCAGAGGAGGTCAGAAGAGGGCATCAGATGCTCTGGAACTGGAGATATAGACAGTTGTTAGCCTCCATGTAGGTGCTGGGAATTGAACCTGAGTCCTCTGCAAGAGCAGACAATGCTGAGCCACTTCTCCAGCCCTACTTTGTTATTATTAAACAACGGCCTACCTGGAGTAAATAAAGCAAGGACGTAGAATGAAAAAGGACATCCTCCGTAAATGAGTTTTATGGTGTCTGTGTTACCAACACTTGCCTTCTCCACTACTACAGAAATAGACTGGGGACCCTACAAAGTTCCACCCAAGTGTTTTTCAGGGATAGGAGCCACCTCACATGTGCTCACAGCTACAACACAGTGCACCCAGCAGCACTGCCACTTGCTCCAATAGCCACAACTCTGTAGATGTCACTCTTGCTACTGGCCACCGCCACATTAGCTTGGAACTAAGTCTCCACTACTCCTCAAACCATCCAGCCTAGGGGTAGGTGACAAAATGCCTCTCTCCCCTCTCTCTTTCTGCATTATCCCCTTTTAAGTGAATGCTAAAGCATCTTAGCTGTTTTGTTTTCTATTTCCCTTTTAGCCTTCCTTATCTCCAAAGGGCTGAGAATGAAGTCCATGAGAGTCTTGGCCAGAAAGTGACTGTTTTCTCTTCTAGGAGGCCCTAGGACAGGGGCAAGGGCACCATACCTGCTTTCTTCTTCCCTGTTTGGGTTTCTCTGTTTCTCATACATGTAGAATCAGTGCAATCTCAAGGAGGGACAATTCGACAATTCTTTGACATAATTCCTCTTCAACAAATTTATAGATATTCATACAAATGTGAAAAATATTCATTTAAGAATCTTTTAAAAAATATTTTATTATTTTTATTTTATGTGTATGTGTGTATTGCCTGTATGTAGGTAAGTGCACCTGTGTCGTGCAATGCCCACAAAGGAGAGAAGAGACTGTTTGCTCCCCTGGAACTAGAGTTACAGACAGTTGTTAGCTGCCATATGGGTGCTGGGACTCGAACCTGGGTCTTCTGCAAGAACAGTTAATGTTCTTAACCACTGAGCCATCTCTCCAGCCCTCATTTAAGAATCTTTAATGCATTGTTTCTATTAATAAAAGGTAGGTATGATGGTTTCATTGTAGAAATCATCTAGACAGTACACCTCTGGGCATGTCTCTTAAAGTCTTTCCAGAGAAAGAAAAGGAAGACTCACCCTGAACATGGAAAGCACCATCCATCCTATGGCTGGGGTCCTAGCCTGAAAAGAAAGGGGGAGGGGAAGGTGAGCATCAGCATTCATCTCTCTTCACTTCCTGAGGGGGACACATGACCAGCAGCCTGTGTTCCTTCCATGTTCCTCCACCATGTCCCCCCACCCCTTAGTAAACTATAAGCCAAAATCAATCATTTCTCCCTTGAGTTATTTTGTCAAGTCTTGTCACTGCAACAAGAAAAGTAACTAGAGCATTAGGAGACAATCTAACTGTCCATCAAAGAGGACAAGTTAACTATATTATGGCTCATCCAAGGTCCAGAGAAAGAATAGGCTTTGCAGCAGGTCCAGAGGGCAGTGCCAGCTCCTCTGCCAGTTAGGGCCTCTGACACAGCAGCCCCAGGTGGGTTGGGCTCCTTTCTGGTATCAAGTACTGAATCTATTAGAATCCAGACAGCAAAACTGAAACTGCCTAGGCCTTTCTGCAAAAAGAACTTCAAATAGAATATTAGTTTATTGCTTATTGGACAACTTTAAAAAGCCAAAAGGAGAAAGGGGATAGTAACTCCAGGAAGGAGTGCACACGCCAGGGCTGGGAGCACAGAGGGAGGATATGGGTTCCTAGAGGGCAGAGGTTTGGTAGAGAGGCCTATGGAGCTAGTCAGACCTCTAAGAGAGCCCACTGCCTAGGGGGTGCCAATACCTCCAAGGGAACAATAGGAGGCTGCCTCTGGCAAGGCCAAATAAGGAAAAAAGAAGAGTGGAAGCTGGAGCCTGCAATGGCCTGCCACCATGGGCTACAGGGTCCCTGGTGGGCGTTACTGAGAGGGACAGTTACAGACAGAATTCCAGCCTCAATCTAGGGTTCTTTCTTAGCAAACCTGGCTGGTGGTTTGCAGAGTCTAAAGTGAAATGACAGGAGCTGACAGATAGCTTACACACACCCATTAACCCTTAAAGAGAAAGACACATCCCTAGGAGTCAGCACGTAAGACTCTCAAAGGGAAAAGCAAGATGTGTATAGTCAGTCATCCTTGAGATAAAAGAAAGACAATGAAGGAAGGAAAGAAAGAAAACTTGTTATATGTCATAGTACAATGACATTCACAGGGACTTACCCTCATTCATAAATCTAATTAGCAACAGCTATAGAGATGAGGAACATTTTATTCAGCTCATTTTTAAGGATATGCAAACTGCTTTTTATATGGTACATGTAGGGAGGTCAGAGGACATCTTTGTGGCATTGGTTGGTTCTCTCCTTCCACTTTTATGTAGGTTCCAGGGATTCAGACCCAGGTCTGCATCCCGAGGAATGGCAGGCTTTTTACCTGCAGAGCCTTCTAGCTGGCTCAAGAGATGGTCTCCTTACGCAAATTAACTCCTTCCACTGGTCCTTTTTATAGTCATTTTTAATTATATCTTTTTTATTTTTATTTTATGTGTATGAGTGTATTACCTGCATTACATAAGTGGGCCTGTGTCGTGCAATTCCTGAGGAAGTCAGAAGAAGGCATCGGATTCCCCTGGAACTGGTGTTATGAACAGTTGTTAGCTACCATATGGACACTGGGCACTGAACCCAGGTCCTCTGCAAGAGCAACCAGTGCTCTTAACCACTGAGCCATCTCTCTAGTCCCATCTTTCTATGGTCATTTTGACTAACAGACATCACAATAACATTGTTGGTCCTCTTAAACACTAAAACAATAACAAAAAATCCTTTACAGCAACTTTTATTTGCACTTGAAATTCAGATATACTTACAAACTCATTCAATTAAATGCAGGAGTTAGTAGCTTTACAAATGTATCCTTGCTATTTCCTCTTGGTATTAGTTGAGATACTTGAGAACTTGTAATTTGCTTCTAACTATATTTGCTTTTATTTTACAACAAAAAATGATGTATGAGCAAAGCACCATGAGGCAAGGGTTGATAA